TGATGCGTGACATCAAAAACTCACTTGATTCTTGGATCAGTTTGAAGAAGGTTAGCAAATTCTTCAATGGCCTTTTTGCATCCTTATGAACTTGGTGAATGAAATAATCATAGAAAGTGGAACCATCATAGTTGCTGATAGATGAGACGATTGACTCAAAATATGTGACATTATCAATTGGATCCATCTTTGCCTTATACAATCTCAAGTAATCTTGAACTATGCTATTTAGCCTAAAAAATCTCCCTTAAGAAAGCATTTGTCAACAATAATTTTGTTTTGCCAATTAGCCTTTCTTTTTTGATAAAGAGTTGAGGTTGATTCATTGTTTGGGTAGTAAGTCTCATCAGCCACTAGAATAGAGGTCAATTCTCTAGCTCTAGAGAGTTTTCTACTCCTTACAACATAATCATAAGATTTTGATGGCAACGTACCCTATGAGTGGCTCTTGAAATTCTTTACAGTGCTCCCTATATTATTCTCATTATTATCTTTTCAAACTCAACAAGTTACCTGACAATGACAAATTCTTTGCTGCTCTCAAAGATGCTTCTCCATCTCTATTTTGTTGCTCAATTTCATGAAGTACTCATCTTCTAGTTTAATATGTAGATATTGAGCTTAAAGAAAACAAAGAAATAGAAGAGTGAAAGAATTGTAGAGTGAGAAGCTCACCTCATGACCCCCTTATTTATATATTTAGGTCGGGGCATAAGTGTTGCATGATTGATTACATGCATAACTATATGAAAAATAATACAACAAAATCAAGCATTTATACCACTTCGTGGGGTCAGCTACATGAATCATTTTTCTTTATTGCTTTCTGTTAAGATTTAAATTCTCATTTAAATCATGACATGCAACAAATAAGAGAAAAGTATAAATATTGTGTAGCCTAATTTGAATATTAAACTGGTAGAAGTTGCTAGCCAAGCTAATAAGAAGTCGCAGACTTGACATGTCTAGGTGGATAGGTGGACGAAGCAGAATAGTTGATCAATAGTTTCCTATATGAAAGAAGTTGCCCACTTGAGTAGTTGTTAGGGCTGACGAAACATGTGTGTGTGTGTGTGGGGGGGGGGTGGGGCGGGGGCAAAAAAATAAAATAAAATAAAAATCACTTAGAAGGAAAATATACATCCTATGGACAACCCTTGTCACCTTTAATTTTATTTGTTACAGGCTTTTTCCATTTCAAGTCTTAAATCCACCTTCTACCTAAGCCAAGTAATGCTTTAGCTGTAGAGAGAGAAAGACTAATGGGGTAAAATAGTTCTTAAAGTTATTTATTAATTTGATTGTTTTAGTGTCTTAAAGGGGCTTAAAGCTAAATTTGAAAGCCTAAAGGGGGTTAAATCTGATTATTTTAGTGGCTTAATAGAGCAACAAGCTCATTAACAAGAAAATTGCTCTAATTTTTATAATTCTTCCTTCTAAAGTTATTTATTAATGCAAAGAGGCTGCAAATATATTTTTTTGGACATGTTGTGTCCCGGAGTATTCACGGTGGTAAAGAAATATATAATTTAACATCTTAGCATTATATGAAAATTTGGCACGCAATTAAATAATAGAGAGAGTAACATTTATGAGACACCAAGATTTTTACGTAAAAAACCCCTGAATAAGGGGGAAAAGCTATGGGGCTTAGCTTAGTTTGAATGAATCCACTAGTATTGCAGTTGATTACAAATGAGGCCATTCCTTGGTGGAAGGTCATCACTTGATGTACATTTTATGGAGTACATTACATAATGAGAATACAAAGGATCACTGCTAATGTGTTTGTTTAGTCTGAAGGACTGTAGTTGGTGGACAACGTAAGTCGGAAGGATCGTAGTCGGTGGACGATGGAGGTTGGAAGGATTATAGTCTGTGGTCGATATAAGTCGGAAGAACCGTAGTCGGCAGGCGATGGAGGTCAGAAGGAATGTAGTCGGTGGTTGACATAAGTCAGAGGGACCGTAGTCGGCAAGCGATTGAGTTCGGAAGGATTGTAGTTGGTGGACGACGTAAATCAGAAGGACCATAGTCGGCGGACGACAGAGGTCGAAAGGACCGTATTCGGTGGGCGACATGAGTTAGAAGGAACATAGTAGCCGGCGACAGAGGTCGGAAGGACTGTTATCTGACGATGAAGGTCAGATGGATGGCGTCATGTATAAATCCAACAATGTGCTGAAATTCATCATTAGATAGATGTCCGACAAAAGGCCGATAATAGATAGAAGCCCGGTGTTGGGTAGAAACTTGGCGATGAGAGGAGGTCTGGAGTCGGGTAGAAGTCTGACATCAATCGACGACCGATGATAACTCTGGCGTTAGATGGTATTCGGGCAGAACTCTGACGTCACTTGGAGTTCAGATGAAACTCCAGCATCACTTGGAGTTTGGGTAAAACTCCAGCGTCACTTGGAGGTCTGGTGGAATTCCGGGGTCACTTAGAGGTCGGGTGGAATTCCGACGTCACTTGGAGTTCGGGTGAAACTTTGGTGTCACTTGGAGGTCGGGTGGAATTCCCGTGTCAGTTGGAGGTCGGGCGAAATTCCGACGTTGTTTGATCGGAAGTCAGGCAGAATTATGGAGTCGTTTGGAAGTCGGGCTGAATTCCGGCGGCTCCCTCCTAATCTTCTTCTCCTTCTTCTCTTCTTCTTCTTGCTTGGTCCCCCCTCAAGAGAAATGAGGGGTCTATTTATAGATTTCTGGAGTGACATGGCCCGTATATAGGTTGGAGATCAAGGGTAAATGGGGAGTGGTTGGATGGACGGCCGATATTAAATCCCTTGATCATGTACCATTCGTAAGACATCTGAAGGTTTGGGCTCGTTGAATTTGTCTCATCGAGCCGCTCGATGCGACTATAAGCGCGTTATGTTTGGAAATCGTTTGGTAACCCAAATTGTGGCTTGAACTTTCCAATAGCGCTTCGGGTCCTTGATTTGGACCCATTTGGGCTCGGATTGAGTTGAATTTGGTGTCATTGGGTTCGTATTTCCGAGACGATCAATTTGACTGTAAGTTTGCTGAAATCGGAGTTCAAATGATCCCATATTTAATTTTTGAAGTTTCTAGCTTGATTTTTGCCTCAAGATTCGTGTCCGATCAAGATAATTTGTTGATGATATATCAGGACACATGAAAAACATCAATAGTTTGTTTTCCCATTTGCTCCTCTCTTGTTCGCGACTCACCACCTTGAGCATGACTTTCATTTTCTCTTTCGCTTCTCTCTCTCCTCCAAGAACGTCCGTGGTAGATATTTATGTATTCTAAGCTCTTAGGATCATGTTATTTGCATTCTTAATTTTGATCTTACAGCTTCTCTTGGCTCTGATAATGAGACGACAAACAAAACTAGTTTAACGTATTCCAACCTTCCAGATAAGACGACAAACATAACTATTTTAATTTTGCCCCCCAAATAAAATTTCTTGCTCCGCCACTGCGACCAAATATGTCGTACTCTCTTGCTTGGGACAAACAAATTCATAGATTATAGTCACTTGCTTATGATGAGTTCATTTGTAGACTAATCAATTTCTTTTGAACTGAAACCGAGAATCAAAGTTGTGTTAATTTGAACTGAGTAACTTGATTTGAATTGATTTTTTGGCGCATTTAACGGTACATATCTCCTCGTACAAATCCCACCTTATTTAACGCATAAAAATTAAGTCTGAATTTTTTTTTGCAACCTATTGAAGTATAACTTAATGTATAAATAAATAATAATATCATGGCTGAGCCATCACATGCCAAATGGCGCTCAGGAGCGTCGTGTTCAGATGTGTTGAATGATTGAACAATCTAAATGAACAGAAGCGTATGTCTTATTAGCCACAGTTTTGTGTGGATAATTTTCTTTGTAGACGTAATTGGCCACTTGGCTGTCCCGTTCAAATCTATTTAATTACTGCAGCGCTCGATCAAATAGTCTTTATTCAATTATCTACCAGCCAAAGAGTCTCCAAAAAATAAAAATTTGGAAGCCAACTTCTTGAAGTATTTAGTAATTGCATATGTGGTCACAGCAATTTGTAAAATTAACTTTATTGACATATGCAATTTGTAAAATTATTGAAAGAAAATTAACTTTTTTTCAAAGCTGATATAGAAAACAACTTTAGTATAAAAATTTTTATGAAACATTAAAAAAATAATGACCAAACACAAATTGCATCTATGGTCTAAAAAAATAAACCAGTAAGAAGACTATCAGAAACGAAACATAAAAGTTACGTTTTATAAGATTTATTGTAAAGCTGTTATGGACAAAACAATCCACTGCTATAATTCTAGAAAATAAATTTTTACCACAAATAATTTCTATAAAAACTGAGAAAAAATATAAGTAAAGTAATAGTTAAATAAAATTATGATTATTGTCTGAAAAACTAAAGCGACAAAAAAGCTGTCCCACCCAGACCCTTAGTCTATCATGGCTTGTGACTATTTATTTTCAAAACATCATAACACAAAATTTTCATAAAAAATTGAAGTACAAACTACAAGCTGATATATCTCAAAGAAGATATAAGAATTTGAAAGTCAAACCAACCCCATATAATAATTATTATTTTATTAAAATTGATCCACAAAAGAACAAATCAATAAAGAGTTGTTATGTTTAATACTTCATATAATAATGGTTGGGATGATAATGTTTTAATAATAATAATTTAAACTAATATATATATATAGAATTGGTAGGGGTGTCAAATCGGGTCAGCGGGTCGGGTTCATGTCGAATCCGAATTAACCCGACTTTATACGGTCAACCCGAACCCGACCCATTTTTCCCGTTTCACAAATGGGTCGAACCGAAACCGGATTTTTCCGGGTTGGGTTCGACCTGTGTTCGGGTTGGGTCAAAAATTGACACCCCTAAGTGACCCAATTCAGAATTGGGTCATCTCGTCGCCGCATTCGGCACCCGATCACGCGCTGGCACGCTCACCCGTCTGGCACCCTGATCTACACCCGCAAGGAGAGCCTTTTATTGCCGGCGAGCATCATTGGGAACCCTAGATGGACCTATCGTCTATGAAACCGAAACAGGAAATACGACGACTGAGGAAAGAGAAGAGAAGAAACAGACTGAGGAGAGAGAAACAAGCGGAACGAGTGAGCCTGGGTTTGACCTATTCCCCATCTATGCGTCTGACCCGCTTATATTTCTTCCAATGGGTAGACTCCTTGCTCAGCTGCTGGAAAAACCAAATTCTTCTTACGTCCTGGATCTCCTCTAGCAGAGGAGAAAGGCTGCTTATCGCTCCGTCGGTCGATCTCTTTCAGCCCGGATTCTTCCTCGCGCTCCTCTCTAACTGGGCACAGTTTTACTGTAGTTGCATGTTGCTTCTTCTGTCTATTGTGTCAGATCTGATTCCTCGTCGCTTCAGTAAACTCATTCTACTTTCCGCGTTGACGGGTTGGTATTGACAAACCTTTTTATCTGTTCACTGCTTCAGTTTTCAAATTATTTCTTTTTCTATTGATCAATTTTGGGAAATTTTACAGTGTTTGCCCATCGATGTAGTTGACTTTTCTGCTCCAATTTTACAACTTCTGGTCCTCTTCAGCAAACAGGAATTGGGACCCTCTGTTTCTATCCAATCTTTGAGTTTTTATCTGGATTTTATGATACATGGAAAGGGAGAAAATGCGCTGGTAGGGCGTTTCAGGGGTTAACTGTAATGGGCGCAATTTGTTCCAAGGGTTCGGCAGTGGACTTTTCGGCTAGTCATATTAAGATTAATGTTGGTTGCAAGGATGATGCGAGGGTATCCTCACCTTCTAAGTTGAAGTCTTACGGTAACTCGAAGGCTTTACTAGTAGGTGGTGTTCCGGAGAAGCGGAGCCTCGAGCAATCCTTCTCATTTTCAGAGGGGATGTCTCCTAATTTTGGTCGCATTAGGAATGGAACTCCCGCACCAAGGCATCATGCTTTATCTAGAGTTCTTTCAGAAAAATCTTGGTCAACTAAGTGGAAGGGGTCCTATGGAGGAAAATCTGGAACACAAAAGGCAAGTTCTTCCAGGCATATTTTATTTTTCTATTTGCTTACACCGAGCAATTTTACTAGCTGCGTTATGACTGATGGAATTTATACCGGCATACCATGTTCTTCTATTGTAATTTATGAGAAGAGGCGTTGGTGTTCCAATAAGCAATTTTGGCACCATTTGAGTAAGATTTTTATTTTATTTTATCTGTAAACTATGTTCAAAGGAATCCGATTTACCTGCAGATCATGTATACTACCCAGCCCGTCTCTGTTGATAGCTATTGACCAGTTAAAATCTTTTAGAATCAAATTTCAAAGCGAGCTGGATTTTGTTTTAGCTAAGGTGACCTTATGGTTTGAACGACAGAGCGGGTAACTCACTATTCTTTTTCATTAGAACTGAAAGCAAAATGTTTAAGGCTTCGTGGGACAGCTTTTTTCTTGCTTTTTAAAACAACTTCTTATACAAAAAGTTCTTGAATTTGAAATTTTTTACTAGAAAGTTATTTTAAAAAGCAATATGAAAGTCGTCCCCCAAATGAAGCCTAAGTCACTTAAGCTTTCCACCTGGAGAATTATTAGAACGAAAAAAAAAAAAAGAGTTTAAGATAACCTTTATATCTATAGTCCTGAGTACCGAAGCTTCTGCTATGAGCTAGTAGACATTGGTTTTAGATTAGAAGAGTTGTCCAAATTTTCAGAGTGGTGCAACCAAGCATGGCTAAGTGATAATAATACTTTTATGGATATTGACCTTAACAAAATATAGTTGGTTAAATATGCTGATTAGCAATTTATTAATAATTTTACTTCAGTATGCTTAACGATGGTTGCTCTTAAATGCATCTTGAGTCATCATGCTGTGTTAACCATGTTTATAGAGGTCTTCCAACAAAGATTTTGTTTACAAAATCATGTTTTTATCTGTAAGTGTCTCTTAAAAAGGCTGCAAAGTTTCTTAAGAAATGGAAAAAAAAAAAAAGATTTGGTTACAGCCTCACAACGTTTTTGGTTTCTGTACCTGAAGCTGACATTCATATGTCTTACAAAATTAAGTGATTTGAATAGTTAAAGATGAAGCTATCCCATGATTAAATGATTTAGACTATAAGTTTTCTAGTATCTTGAAGTGTATGCTTTGAGGTAATACAATTTTCCGAGTTTCAAAATGGGGTGGGGTGTTAGAAAAATTTGAATGATTTTATAGTTGGAAGAATGTATCATAAAGTGAGTTAGGACATGCATTTAAATTACTTACAGGGTGTCAAAATGCCAGGATCTTAGCATCTTTACTGAGAGTTCTTATCAATATGTCCATGCTGAGGCATGGAATGTGAATTGCATTGTATTCTATAGGTTTCGTGCATTAGTTATAAATACTCAGTGGTTGCATCAAAATGTTGGATAGAAATAATTAAAAATCCTGATGTCGTTAAAGTGATATAGTTTTGGCTATCTTTGTGAATGGATGTAATGCCATAACTATGGTGACCAAGCATTTTATTGCAGCTTATAGTCTATTTAAATTTTGATGTTTCATTTATCCATACTTACAACTTACCCTCAAAATCCAAAATAAATTATTATGAATTCAATTTGCTGTAAAAATAATAAAGAATACAAAAAAGCAAAATAGAAAATACCAAAAAAGAAAGAAAAGAAATATTCTAATGGTATCTATCGTCCGAAAGTTTAAAGCAACAACTAATCTCCCTCTGTTACTGTTTATCGAGGGTGATAAATTTAAGATTAACTTTAGATCACAAATAGCTAATGTCACATCAGGTGTGTCAAAAAGATTGCTATCAAAATATCTCATGCCAATAAAGATGTGGTATTCATCCTTTAATTGAGTGGTTTTTGGCTCCAAATGGTATCATTAAGTAACAATTATAATTGGGGCCTTAGATCGGATAGCTTTGCCACAAAATGACATCATTATATTATGTTTAGAGCAATAGCTTGGATGTTCCCTAATGACTTCGGTCCTCTTGAGTTGTGAATCATATGGTACATAACTTCTATTAGCTACTGTCGACTTAAAATTATCCTCCTATATAAATATCAACCCTATATTTACAAGTTCCCCTTGAACGATGCAATCCATGACTGTCGACAAGAATCTTTTGGCCAGGTTGGGTCAGCTACCTCTATTAAGTAGACCATGGTCTATGCCAACCCGAGGCGACTGAACCATGAGATCTTGATTGGGTTCAACATCATTCCCTCTATCATACGTTTTAAGCTAATGGCGATAAAGTTATCATAATTTAAAATTTAAATTGTTGTTTTCATATGCTAAGCACTTTTAGTGTGATGATTAGCCTTAATCAAAATTTCCCTCTTATCACCAAGAGTTGTAATTAAACTAAGGGGTTACACGGTTACGCCTATGAGAAGCCTGTTTTATAAAGTCATTGTAAAATAAGGACAAAATGTCTTGGTAGCATCTTATTTCAATCTAATCTAACTTCTAAATTTTGAACATATGATTTGGCGAATAATTGTTTTTTTTACCTTATACAATATTTAGCAAAACTGAATAAAAAATGAGGATTTATAAAGTTAACCTCAAATAGTTAGGATAAGAAATGATTATAATGATGATGACATTATAAGAAAACAAGGTTTCATTAATTAGTTTATTGTGGGTTTTTTGTTGAGAGGTAAGTATTCAGTGAATCTGCATAGTTCTATTGATATCTTGGTTCAAAAAAGGGTCTTTTGAAGCTAAAAGTTGTGTTTAAGCCTATGTAATGGCTTATAGGTGTTGTGGTTGACTAAAGAAGGTGGGCAGGCTGCAATGGATTATGAGCACTGTAATGAGGACAATGCATTCTTTTGTTCTAGAAAGCATATCTGTTTGTAAGTTGTGTATTGAGTGAGTCTCATGATATTTTGGTTTAAAAGAAAGCTTAGGAGATGGAAGTTCTTGAACCATATGTCTGATATGATGCCCAGAAAAGTAAATTTCTTGGAGTTATGTACCGTGAATTATGTATGAACAGCCACATTTGCTTTCTGGCTCAAAGTAATTGGTTAATGAGCTTCAATATTTTTCTTTGCCGTTCATGCTAATTGTACTTGCAACTGGCTTCTTTTTTCAGTGCATTAGTGCTTCTCAAAATTTTGAGCATCACAATTTTTTTTACTCCTGTTTTTATCTGATCAAACCTTTGAGATTGTTGAGATGTGTTTCTCTAACTGTTTTTTTTTTGGGAATATTCTCATGATCATAAAATGAAGATTAGTACTTCATATGAATTTCTGGTTAGCATTGTTCTCTTTCTAACCTTTTCTTTTCAACAGGTTGCAGAAGTAGGTTTGCTTCTGGGCAGGGCTGGTAGTGTAGGTTTTGGTAAGGCAGTAGAGGTTTTGGACACAATCAGTAGTAGCGTGACTAGTTTGAATACCAGCAGTGGCTTTTCATCAAGGGTAACAACAAAGGGAAATAAAATATCTATACTGGCTTTTGAGGTTGCAAACACAATTGTAAAGGGCGCCAATCTTTTACATTCACTTTCAGAAGAAAATACTAATAACTTGAAGGGAGTGGTGCTTCCTTCTGAAGCAGTTCAAAATTTGGTATCCGAAGACATGGATGAGTTGCTAAGAATTGCTGCTACTGACAAAAGGTTCACTGGCGAGTTCAAAAATTAATTTATGTTATTCAGATAGATTTATTTCAAAGGATACCGAAGTCTGACTTTTCTTCGAGTCTCAAACAACAACAACAACATCAAGCCTTTATCCCACTACGTGGGGTCGGCTACATGAATCCTTTTTCTCCGTTGTGTCCTATTAAAAGTCAAATTCTCGTTTAAATCTAATAAAGAAAGGTCATTCCTAATATTTTCTAACCAAGTCTTTTTAGGTCTACCCCTACCTTTCTCAACAACAACAACATCAAGCCTTTATCCCACTAAAATGAAAAAAAAAAAAAAAAATCTTCCCGACTGAAAATTAATGTTACAAACTCATTATTGCCACTTTTTTCATTGAGTATACCTTCTGATACTAACATGAACTTGCTTTGTTTTCTGTTCTGTTTATCAGGGAAGAGTTGAAAGTATTTTGTGGAGAGGTGGTTCGATTTGGGAATCGCTGTAAAGATCCCCAATGGCACAACTTGGATCGCTACTTTGCAAAGTATGCACTGAACATATTAAAGAATCTTGAGTTCACAGGTGTTTTCCATTCAATTAACTAGCATTCAGTAATTCTAGATTAGGTTCTGAACTCGCATCACAACAGCAATGTAAAGAGCAAGCTGCAGAGGTTATGCAGCAGCTAATGATCTTGGTTCAGTATACAGCTGTAAGTATATTATTCTCTCTTAGATTGGGAGTTTGGGGTGTTTACGCATCTATGTATGCTGATTTTATTTTAAATTTTTTTCTTTTATTACATGCTAAATTGCAAAGGGTTTCTTGACTTCAGTCATGAGCATATTCTTGCAGCTTGGTTCCATCTTTTCAGCTATTTGAGCCTCTAAATTTACTGACAGTGAAAGGTGCTTATACTTGTAAAGAACTTAGTTAAGAAAAAAAATTTAGATTAAAGAATACAAAAAATTCTGCTAGCCGTGCAAATAGCTTGAAAGTACATTATTGACTATGTCAGTTTGACCTAATTTTGTGTATGAAGTATGAACTATCAATTTGAATGTTTTTCTGTTATTCCCTATCACATAATGAAGCTAATCATCTAAGAATTCTTCAGTAGCAAAGACATCCAAGTATTTCTGCTTGCTTATGAAGCAACCAATTCTTCAGAATTTTTTTTTTATGCCCCTCTTGCATGATATCCATATCTGCTTACAACAACAAGAATTCCTCGTTCGCTTATTGAATTTTCTTTGTTTTCTAGAAAACAACATTAAGTTTGTCCACATGTTTATTTTATTCCTTCTGAATGTTGCTATTTCTGCCGTACATCATATGGGAGGGACGCTGTAGGTGTGCTCAGGCACCTTAGGTTTCAACTTATGGTGCTTCCTTTATGCTAAGCTTGGGTAGAAGGGCAGTGAAGGAAATGAAAAAAAAGCTTAGATCCCCGTATTTATAGTTAAAGATCCACAATTTTCATATTCGGTTCTTAGCCTAACTCTTTTCGATTATGTGCAGATGGAAATTATAGAATTTTTTTTCGTGATCAATATTTGAGTCATCTTATTTCTTTTGGATATCGTTGCGGTTTTTACTTGGGCTTGTGATTATTTTAGTTTGTCATTTTGTTTTTTACAAGTTTGTTTTTCTTATATTTCTATAAATAAGGTATTTTGAGTATGTGAAATAGTTTTTGGTATGGGGAGAATTTTTTTCTAGATGTGAATGACCATTGTTCTTAATCTATGAAGAGATATTGGACCGTGATTAGTTGTGAGACTTGGAGCTCTTATGAAGATTTCTTAATCTTTCTCATTTGTTTTAATTCTATAGTTGACATCACTTCTGATTCTTTATATCAGATAGATATATCTTAATAATATTCCATAATTATCCTTTATTATGGATAAAAATATATGTAATTAATTAGTATAATTATAAATATTTAGCTCTTAGGAATATAATTAATAGATTCCTTGTTAGTATAGATTTGATTGAGTAAATTATTCGATCATTGCCTTGTATTATACTTATTCTTTTCTATATAATGAGTAGAACCCTCTAGATATGGGCATGCAGGTTGTAAAAGCAATTTATTTGTCATGGAATCTAAGCCCCACTCTATATCTTTGTCCTCGTTTAGAGAGAGTGAGCCTTTTTTCATTCTCGCTTGGTTTGCATCGCCTTGTTTTTGTCCATCTTGCTTGGTGAAACAATGCTTTGTCTCAGCGATTTTGAGCTGTAAAAATCCCATCTCCCTTGAAGACTTCATTGTCTTTTGCTCTCATCACGAAGATCCCATCTCCCACCCTCGCAAAGGTCCCTTAGCCCATGAAGCCTTCTTCATCTTTGTCTCTCGCAAAGATACCATCTCCTTTTCGTAATACATTACTGACATCTTTGCTCTATTGAAAATACTCGCCTATGTGCCATGTAGTGGTTATCATCTTCACCTCATCAAAGGTCCAAACGCCACTCCTCAACAAATTTGGAAAGTACTCAGTTCCTCGTCCTTAACACTTGTTCTCTCATCTCAATGCTAGGTTGATAATTTCAAAAGGGGCTTAAACAACTAAGATCTCTTGATTCTTATTATTTTCTCTTAGAACTTGATAAATTATTAAAGACATAATGTCAACCAGCAATTTAAATATGTTTGGTGTACCTTTCACAGGTTAAAATTATTCTATATGGAATTTCAATTTCAATTTTTTGTCATGGGAAATGAATTATGGGTACGCATTAATAGGAGTGATCTCACTAATAAAATTTTTAAATTGGCTAAATGGCAAAATAAAGATATCAGAATTACGACATGGATCTTAGGATTCATTGATCAGATGGTTATTCTCAATTTAAGGCATATAATAGCTAAATATATATGAGAATATTTATAAAAGGTTTATAATCAAAATAATGCAACTAATTGTTTCTAATCAAAATATGAGATTGGTAGTGATGTAGGACTAAGTATGCTTTAAATGATTGATAAGAATTTGCATGCTTTCAAGTAAGAGTAATAAGAATTAAAAGGTTAGCCACTTAACGAAAAGAGAAAACAAGAGAGGGGTGCCTTAGCTTAGGCCAAGTCACTCAATAATAGTTAGGATCACAAAACAATTAGAAAATTCAACATAAGCAAATATAGAGGATTTCCAATAACATCCCTAGATTAACAATAAGATTAGATGCATAGAAATCCATCACTCATTCTCTACGTTTACTAAGCTTTAACAGATAGCTTTACACGATTCCTTATGCTTGATTCACAACCTACAATCGAGGAGGACTAGGAAGGAAATTGAAGAGGGAACTCCAAGGAATCCAAGTAGGGGAAGGGGTGAGAGGGTGGCCGGCCAAGGTAGGGTGCTTGGGGAGGTTTTGGTTCAGATTTTAGAGGTGTTATGGGTAGGGGAAGGCCGGCTAGGTTAGAGAGGAAGGTGGAGGAAATAGAGTTCATATTTTAAAGGAGGGAGGTTGTTGGGAAATTGGGAAATTGTTTCCCTAATTAATTCTTTAAGTATGGAAAGGATTTAAAGGGAAAATGGAGAGAGGGAGGGGGCGAGTAAGAGAGAGGGAGAGGGTTTGAATTCTTTCCCGAGTAAGAGGCTTAACTTTGGAAAGTATTTAAGGGGTGGGGATATGGAGGGGCCGGCGACATCAGGAGGGGGAGAGGGTTTAGGGAAATAAATCAAGCCTACTTGATTTGGCATATTAAATTAGGAAGGATGGATCTCATTCCAATGTAATTTAAAATTTAAATAGGATTGATTTTGGAAACTTTCCTAAAATAGAAATCTAATTTTGGAAAGATTTCAAAATTCAAATGTGATTGAATAATTGAAATCAAGGTTTTCCAAAGAAGGTTTGGTGGAAAAGGAAAGTAATGAAGAGGATTTGAATTTGGAGGTAAAGGGTTATTGGAAAGGGATGGCTGGCGGCTAAAAGTAGGGCTAGGGTTAGGTTTTGGTGGTGGAGGTGGAGGTGGAGGTGGGGGGGGGGGGAAACCAAACAAGGGATGAGCCACCAAAGTAATTATAATTTAAAAATTTAATAACTAACAATAAGCTAATACTTAGTAAGTAAAACATGACTCTAAGCTACAATAATCAAGGCAAAATGAACAATATGCTAGATGCCATAATTCATTAAAACATATTATAAATTTGCTTCATATAAACATAACATTAAACATAAACATAATTCATAAATTCATATCTTTCATATTTATTTTCATATTTATATCAATATTCGTAACTTTCTCATTTCGTATATATTACAACCGTCACAGGAGCCACCGTCTAGTACCATAAAGGTATTCATTTACTATTTCCTTTTCCATATCCTTTACCATTTTAACGTGCACGAGTACAACGTCCTCAGCTAGTACATAAGGAGGTGAACTCCATCAATTCAGCATGCAAATGCAATCACTCAATCTAACAATTACATCATATTCATATCTTCTCAATTGTATTACATATGAACTTTGTATGATAATGTCATAAGATATAACATATAAATTACATGATCAATCATTAGACAAAAGTAACAGAATCATGATCTAAATTGACCATAAAGATTTTATAAACATGTTTGATCTTTCAAATCATATAACGTGAGAGAAACAAAATTATCAATGTAATAAAGAATCATGAATACTTACTTCGATTTAAAGTATTTGATTATTCCGCTCAAACACCTTCCTTCGAGGTTCACGATTATCACCCATAAGCATTAAATTTTCCTTAAAAAAATCTACATAATAAATCTAAATTAAAAATTCTTCTTCTCTTTAAACCACCCTAAGTTCTCTCTCCCTCTCCCTCTCTCTAATTATATAATAATACTAATCACTCCAATATTCTCTCTCCCTCTCTCTCTAATTGATCACATAATACATATATATATTCTAAAAATTCATGTTTTATTCTAATTACATACTTTAACCAAATTAACCCTTTACCCTAACCTAATTTAATTTAAACTAATTTCTATTTTCGGATTTATTAATTTTAAAAATTTGGAAAATATTATTTTGTTAGAAAAATCTAATTTATTCCTTTAGAAACCCTCTTAGGACTCTTAAGAACCATATTTGTAAAAGCACTTTCAAAATTTCAAACTTTAGAGAAAAACCCTAATTTTTACAACTCAATAATTTAAAAAAAAACCTTATTTCCATGCATAAAAGCATCTCCTAAACCTTCCCTATACATTTTTTAAAGAAAAGAGAAGTTTTGCCAAATCCTAATTTCTTCATCTCAAAAAAATCTAAGAGAAGATAAAGATTTCTAGGTTTAGAAACATACCTTAGTGCTCCTTAGACTTTCCCCTACAATTTCCCTCCAATCCCTTTGCCGGAAACCGTCGCCGGAGCCGCCCGTCCCCCTCACCCGTCCGCCTATGCCGTCCGCCATCTCTTTGTTCGGGCGAAAGGATTATGTTGGGACCGAATAGAATCGGTCCCCTTAAGGCTTAGGAGGTTAGGGAAAAAAATCCAATTACTCAAATGCCCTCACTTAAAACATATCAGCTTAAGTAATGACTAAGGGTAAATTGGGTATTATGAGATTTCTCTTAATTTTAACTTCAATATGTTATGCATACCAAATTTCTTAGAATTTTGTGTAGAATTTTATAAAATTATTTTCGTCAAATACAACGACTTTAAAAAAATTCACTAAAATCGCGTCGTGGTGCATCGAA